CCAGACACACATGCAAGCAAAACACTCACACACGTAAAATAAATATTGGAAAGACAGAAAAGATAAAACTGGAGATATACAGAGAGGGAAAGAGACATGGTGGGCTAGGGGAGTGAGGGAGGAGAGAGAGTAAAGGAAGACAGAGGCAGAGGCTCATAGAGAGAGAGAAGCCGGTATAGGGAGCAGAGCAGCGCATAGATCGGAGGGAGACACTCCCAGAAACAAGTCAGCCCCAGCCTCTTCCAGGGCCCCCTACCTTACCCCCTAGGTCTGGGCTCCCTGCCAGGCAGGAAAACTGGATCCAAGAGGCAAGGGAGGGGCAGGAAGGTGGACCACATTCCCGAACAGTCTGTCCTCGAGAACTGACTGGCTCCACCCAGGGGCTGCTGCAGACCTGAGTGGGGCCCTCCAGCGTGTGCCCCTAGAGCAAGGGGGCTCATAAAGAGATATGCATCTGCTATCTTGGCCTAGTCTCAAACAGGGCTTCCTCCTGAGAGTTCTGGAGGGCTGGAGGTTAGGTGGTATAGTAACAGACTTGGCACCTTGGAAAGAAAGCCAAAGCCTGGGGATGGAGGTAGCCCATGTTCTGGGGCAAGAAGTAAGCAGAATGAATGTGAAAGTCTCCCAAAAACTGCAAGGCTGGTGGCACCAGAGCCTAGGGAAGAGCAACAAGCATCAGCGGGAAAAGTACAGGAACCAACAGCATACAGGCTTCCAGGAACAATGGAAAAAGCCAGGAATAGAGGTGCACACCTTTAATGCCAGCACTTAAGAGGCTGAGACAGGAGGATCATGAATTTGAGACCAGTCTGGACTATATGATGAAATCCAATCTTTTAAAAGGGGAAGTTGAGGAGCGGAGTAGCAAGGAGGTTAAGACCATTTACTGCACTTCCAGAGGACCCACACCCAACCAACTGTGGGTGTTCAGTTCCCAACACCCACTTAGCAGCTCACAGTCCTGGAACTCCAGTTCCAGGGGATCTGATGCCCTCCTCTGGCCTCCCTGAGCACCAGGAATACATGGGGTGCAGAGACATATAGGCAGGCAAAACACCCATAAACATAAAATTAAATAAAAGTTATTTATAAAGAAGAAAGAAAAGCAATAGAATTGATAAAGTCCCAGGTATGAGTTTTTAGGAACCACAGGCCCAGGGCACAGGCCTGCCAGGCCAGTGATATCGGTGGTGGCTATAGGAGTCGGGAATGTATTCAGGAAGCAAAAGATACACACACCTGTCTGTCATTTGGAGGTATGGTCCAGAAGAACACACAGGTCTACAGGTATTAGGGTCTTGAGAGGATGCATCACCAGAGCACCCGGCTGAGTTTGTACATGAAAATGGCAGACTGAAGGGCATACTCGTGTGTATACACACACACACACACACACACACACACACACACACACACAGAGCACGACGCCTGGGGGAGAACACATGTGAGGAGAACTGGAAGAATTCCTGGGGGCAGGGTACAGGGATCAGAGCAACCCCAGACTCTCACCCCTCCCACACTGATCTCCGCCCTACTGCTCCCTCCTTAAAATTCCCTGCAAATTAAACCGTGCCAAGGACTCCAGGCATCAAGGATCTCAGGCACGATGGTCACCTGCGTGGCAGCGCTGCTGCTGCCGGTTCTGATGCTGATGCTTGCCTGGTGGGGTTGGCTGGTCCGCCGAGCTCAGCTGCAGAGAGGCTTACCCCCTGGGCCCAAGCCACTGCCTTTGCTGGGGAACTTGCTGCAGTTGCAGTCTGGACACTTGGACCGTGTGCTCATGGAGGTAGCTCCTGCTGTGGGCTGGGAGGGCAGAACTCTGGATTTGTGAAGATGCTATTGTGTTCAGAAGAGAGGGTAGAAATCCTGGTTTACTGAAAGGAGACAGCTGAGAGGATAGAGAGCCTGGACTCCTGTGTCTGGAGGGAGCAGAGTGGGCCCTGGACCCCTGTGTCTGAGGGAGGAGGCTGGGGCCTGGACCCTTGTGTCTGAGGGAGGAGGGCTGGGAGAGGAGGATTAGGGTCTAGACCGGTAGAGCTGGGCTAAACTCTTGGGTCTGAAAAGGGAGCAGGGATTTAGAACTCCTGGACCTGTGAAATGAGGGGCTGAGACGGAAACTTTTAGGGCTGAGAAAGACGAGGGCTCTGAGGTCTCTATGGAGATCACAAGCCTGGACTGAGTACTTCTGAGCACCACTCCCCATAGCTCTCCAGCCACTGGGGCCCAGTGTTCACCGTGTGGCTGGGACCGCGCCCTGCAGTGGTGCTGTGCGGCTACAAGGCACTGCGGGATGCATTAGTGCTGCAGGCGGATGCATTCTCCGGCCGTGGGGCCATGGCTGTCTTCGAACGCTTCACCCACGGAAACGGTGAGGCCTAGCGTGGGTGGAGCGAATACTAGACCAGCCGGACAAAATGGGCGGGGCCTAATAGAGTGCCTCTGATGAGGGCGAACCGTTAAGAATTGGGGTTCTATCGACATTCACAACGCAGCCAATAGGAGCCTAAGTACCTAAACTCTGGAGAGCAAGCGCTGGTCAGGAATCCGACCTGCAAATGCAGGATCAGGGCACGTGGGCTGGGGAAAAAAAAGCAAAGCAATTAAGAAGTCCCAAGAGTGGCAAGCAACTGGACCCTGCGTGGCCAACTCTACCTTTGGTTCCCACTGTAGGCATAGTGTTTTCTAATGGGCCGCGCTGGAAGACGCTGCGCAACTTTGCACTTGGGGTCCTGAGGGAGCTTGGCGTGGGAACGGGGACCATAGAAGATCGCATCCTAGAGGAGGCGGCATGCCTGTTGGACGAATTTCAAGCCACCATGGGTGCGGCCTGGCAGGGAAAGACGAAGTACCTGGTTGTGGGGGTGGGAGTGGGGACGAAGGGGTGTGACTGACAGAGCGCCAAAATGCTTTGGTGCAAGGCAGATTCCAAGGAGCTAGGTGGAGGGACCAGGGCTTTTGTGTGTGGGTATCAAACCATCTTAGTCAGAGTTTTGAGGGTAAGGGTCTCCTTACTAGCCACAGTTTTACTACCAAAGCTGTTCTCAACCCCAGGAGCTCCATTTGACCCCCGGCAGCTTTTGGATAACGCTGTGTCAAATGTCATTTGTTCTGTGGTCTTCGGAAAGCGCTATAACTATGGTGACCCGGAGTTCCTGAGGCTCCTGGACCTCTTCAGTGACAATTTCCGCATCATGAGTTCCCGATGGGGTGAGGTGAGAGGATGGGCTCCAATTCCTCCCTTTTAGGAACAAACAGCCTTATGCCAACCCCCAGGGGCATACATAGCCCTACCTACAGTGGCACATTAAGATGCAAGTGTCAAGACTGTAGACTGAATGACAGAGTTCTATAACCCACAAAATCCTCATTTAATCTCCCCATTGGGAAACCACAGCCTTCTCCAAGGCTGTATTAATTAAGACTGTTTCAGCAGGGGGTGGTGGCACGTGCCTTTGATCTCAGCACTGGGAAGGCAGTTAGGAAGATCTCTTTAAGTTTGAGACCATCCTGGTCTACAGATTGAGATCCAGGTTAGCTACACAGTGATACATCTCAAAAACAAACAAATAAATAGAACCCTGTCTCTCCAGACATACAATATGTTCCCATCCTTCATGGACTGGATCCCTGGTCCCCACCACCGAATCTTCAAAAATTTCCAAGAGCTCCGACTCTTCATCGCTGAGCAAATTCAGTGGCACCGGCAGTCACGACGGGCTGGGGAACCCCGTGACTTCATTGATCGTTTCCTCGACCAAATGGATAAGGTATACGTTCCTGCCGCAGTAACCTCTACCCTTCCCACCAAGCAGCTGCATTAGTCTCCCTCTGTCCACAGGAGCAGCAGGACCTGGGAAGCCATTTCCAGGATGAGACACTGGTGATGACCACTCACAATCTTTTCTTTGGTGGCACTGAGACCACAAGCACCACGCTGCGTTACGGGCTCCTCATTATGCTCAAGTACCCAGAGGTGGCAGGTTAGGGAACTGGGTCCTCCCCAGAGCCTGAAAGAGAGGGCAGCTGGGGCGGAACTTAGTAAAGCACAGCTCAGACTCTGATGACCCCAGCCAAGGTGCAAGAGGAGCTGGATGCCACTGTAGGTCGGACCCGCGCCCCCAGACTGGAGGACCGAACCCGCCTGCCCTACACCAACGCGGTGCTGCATGAGATCCAGCGCTTTATCAGCGTGCTGCCACTGGGGCTGCCTCGGGCTCTCACCCGAGATACACACCTCAGGAACCATTTCTTGCACAAGGTGCACAGGGAGTCTGAGAATTCTGCACTGGGAGAAGGGAGCATAAGTGTCTATTTAGAAATTAGGCTCAGTGAGGACTCCACTCCCAAGCTATTAATATCATCTCAGGGGCTGGGGGCGGGGGGTGGTGAGAACTTGCCCAACACCTGCAAGGCCCTGGGTTAGGTGCCAAGCTCAAAAATATAAAGGGTCTTTGTAAGGTGCTCATACTCAGTAACTGTGTGTACCCCCAGGGCACGTTTGTGATTCCCCTGCTTGTGTCTGCGCACCGGGATCCTACCCAATTCAAGGACCCTGATCATTTCAATCCCACCAATTTCTTGGATGACCAGGGCGAGTTCCAGAACAATGATGCTTTCATGCCTTTTGCCCCAGGTCTGGACCAGGAGGGAGGGGACCCGAGTGGCTAGCACTGGGGAACTGGCAGGTGCTCACTCATCCCATATCTGCATCCATGTATCCACAGGAAAGCGGATGTGTCTGGGAGCTGGGCTGGCCCGCTCTGAGATCTTCCTCTTCCTCACTGCCATCCTGCAGAAGTTCTCCTTGCTCCCCGTGGGAAGTCCTGCCGACATCAACCTTACTCCACAGTGCACTGGACTGGGCAATGTGCCACCAGTCTTCCAGCTCCGCCTGGTGGCCCGCTGAGTTGGGCTCCACTACTCTGACCTCAGTGGTCCTGAGGTTCTTAGTTGCCCTAACTGTACATGTAAATCTATTTACAAAGAGGAATACAAGCATGTGCAGCTCTGAGGTAAACTTTTATTACTTGGCTGGCAGGACTTCCATACCCATGCTCCTCATGGCACCTTAGTCTGCCCAAGCCATGGCATCCCAGTCCATAAAGTGCCATAGCCAATGGGGTTGGGGAGTCACTTCACATTCCAGGCTGGAGGAGTGGGGAGGGGGTATGAGTATGCCCCCCCCCAACAGACCTTCGCCAGCAAGAGGCCATGACTCACCTCAACCCCAAATCCTGCCTCCTCTAAGCTCAACACGCAATGGACCAGACATGCCAGACATGGCAGGACATAGGCCACCAGCCTCACCGGCCACTGCCTAGGTCACAACCCAGCCCCAAACACAAGGCAGCAGAGGTCTCTCCTTGTTGGTCCTCAGTGATGCTTATGCCCGCCACACCACGCAGTACGGAGGAAGCCAGAAGCAGCAGCAGTGGCAGGTGGGGAGCGGGCACTGAGGCTAATGAGCTGCAGCTGGGCCCGGGGCTCCCCTGAAGGCAGGGAGCTGCTGATCCATGCAGCTCTGGACTGGCCATTAGGTGGGTGTAGTTGGCTGTGACACAGGAACCTGGACACCTTTTTGTCCCGATGCTGAGGAGGAGAGGAAGACAAGACACTGTGAATCACTAGGAAGGGACAGAGACACAAAAGAAACATGGGACAAAGGGGAGAACATTAAGAGAAAAGTGGGACTCAGGCTGGAGACAGCAGGAAAGCAGGCAAGAACCGGGGGTGAGGGACTTAATAAAAGGGCTGTGGGTGTGGGCTGGTGGTTGTACTAGCCTAGTGTGGCAAAGGCCCTGGGTACCACTCTCAGCACCAGAAAAAAAGGGTAAGGACTGTGACCTGGCAGCTATGAAGGGCAAAGGAGGAAAACAGGTACCTAGCTGATACTTGTCTCTGGCTGCTGCCCGCTCCTTGGCATCAAAATACCAGACAGTGATGGCGTACCTGGGAAATCAGGCAGTCAGATCAATTCTAGTTGCCACCTCTGGTGACACATCCACCCTTTTACATCACTTGATTCTGGGTCCCACTTAGGCCCTCTCAGCATCTCATCACTCTCCCCTGTCACTCTGAGGGTTGGGAGGATCTAAGAAATCTTTGGCACAGGGGAAACAGCTGAGCACATTCCTAAAGTACAGGTCATACCTGGTGGCATAGGCTGGTTTCACCTCATGTGGGTTCCGTCGGTCAGACCAGAAAATGAGCAACCGGTCAAAGAGTGGCTCGATGTTGGCTACCACTGGCCGACCCTCAGGGAAGATCTGCAGCAGGCCACCATGCACCTGGGGGCAGGCCAGATAAGGCTACTGGTGAAGCCTGTAGCCTCTGCCTTATATTGCACCCATGCGCCCACCAGGGGGCGCAGCGCTAGCACACATCACTCCCTCCTACCACTCAGGCACTTAAAATGAAATGACAGCCCAGACTCTACATTGCCATGGAGATGGGCAGGAAGCTACTAAGGACAGGAAGGGGGGGTGCGCAACAAGTCTGGGTGGGGCTAAGCAGATGGCACCATTCCCGGAAAGGAGGCCACAGTCAGCTACAGAGACGCCCTCAGACCTTACTGCCCTGTGAGCTGAGAGAAGGGGAGGACAGAACCCCAGTTGGAATATTAGAATACCATCAAAACTCCCACACCCTACCTTAACATCCCAGTTCTGATTCAGGTAATAGATACAGGTGATGCAGCGTCCGTCGCCGTGGGGATTGTCAACATGCCTCACGTACCCGAGGCCATTGCCTGGGTAACACGCCACCATGGCCTGGAAGAAATGGAGGAAGGTAGTTTACTGAGACCAGAGGAAACCCTTGCCCCTGGTCTGTCCTGGATCACTTTAGGTTATGTGAGCTACAGCCCACATTCCCTAATTCAGCCACACTCTATCCTCAAGTTCAACAATCCACTCTCCTACCTCTATACCCAGCCCCAAACCAGAGGGACTCAATGTGTAAATGATAGTGCTTTTTGAAAAGATCCTAACCCTAGTCAGGTGTAGAGGTGTATGGTGCACACCTGATCCTAGCACTTAGCAGGTGGAGGCAGGAGAGACACAGGTTCAAGGTCAGCTTGAACCACCCAGCAAGAGCAGAGCCTGAGTTCTGAGATATGAAGGCTTCAGCCTTCGCACATCAGAGGTTCTGTTAGGGCTCGAAGGAGATGCAGCCTGGATTTTTTTAAAGGTGCCCTCAGATAATCCTAATGTGAAGTCATGCTGAGAGCTGCTACTATTGACTACAGATTCCAAACACGTGCACATGACAGGAACCTAGAGTTCCAGCTCCAGGCATCCTGCACACTGCTGGCAGCCCCAGTGCCTGAGTAGTCCTCCTATCCCACTGTAAACCGGGGCTGATAAATCCCTTCCATCCATCTGCAGCATTGCCTCCTCGGAGACACGGTGTTTCCAACATCTCAGAGACAGGCCTCTGCTGGGCTTGGTTTCTGTGGGCATGGATCTGGCTAGAGTCCTACATTCCCCTGCCTCTCAACCAGGCAGCCAGGGCTCAAGTAAGACAAGGCCCAGACACCTCTGCAGACTCAAGCCACAAGGTCAAGTGTCTGTAGCTGAATGAGCTGTGGCACTGGGGAGGTAAATTAAGTTCCCCACTTCAGGTTGTTGTGAGAAGCGAGCTAGACTATGAACGTCTGCAAAGACACAGCACTGCAGCCGCAGGACAGAGAACTGGAGCACAAGCTGCAATGCTACTTAAAGGAAAGAATCCTTGCGCCACCCTCTACCCAACACCACTGGGAGTTCAGACGAAGCAAAATGGAGTAGTTAGCAAGAGAACCCTTTGGTTTTTGCCCAGTCAGCAGCCACCACTCTCGACCCTACCATCCAAGTACCACTCCGCAAGTTTGGGCTCCTTGACAATGCTCAGCTATACTTTTGGGTCCAGTTTAGCTCAGCAAGACAAGCAAAGAAAAACACTCAAAATCAGACACATCACCGTCTGCCGCCAAGCCAAAAGGCTTACCCAGCACTCCATGAAGGTCAGCTGATTCAGCCTTATATCCTCCTCCCAAGGTTCTTCTCAACCCATTAATCCCAGGGCCCAACCCACTGTGGATGCCTAAGGCCTCTGCCTCCGATCTATACACCTGATCCACCACAGATCCTACCTTTGCAAAGAGACCAGGAAAGCCTGCCACCATCTAAGGTTACACGGCAGTAGAGGGCTTCAGCACCAGGGTAGAGTAACTGAGAAGGCCCCAGAGGGAAATCCAGGCCTCTAAGATCAGAACAACGAATCTTCTCTGCATTGCTCCTGCAGATGGGATGGCATGCTAAGCAACCACTCACTGGCAGGAAAGAATGTGGCTGTGGCCCTGGTGGCCTGGAATCATGAGTCACTGATTAGAGAGGAGCAAGGCCTCCTTAGCTGGGAGTCCAATCACAGCTCAAGCAGGTTCCGCACGTTGATGGGAGGGCAGGCAGTGCTGTACTGCCTTTAATCAATCACCACACAGCACTACACACCCAGAAAAGTACACTTCCCACGATAGGCACCAAGACCACCACCCTGCAGGGCCTGACCCTCCCTCTGCTCTCAGCCTCAACAGACCTACCTCCTCCCCACCTTCAAGCCTATACTCCTGCCTATGCTGTGTAAGAGGTCCCCAGACCTTAGCACGACTGAGGCCATGTTGGAGATACCATTCTGGCCTTAAAATCCAGCACATAGGCCCCAATATCTGCCACAGTGGGAGCAAAGACTTGGCTCATAATTCTAGCAAAGTCCTTAACTGTGCTAACCTTGTTTTTTGGCTTCTGTAGTTCTGCTTCTTGCTAATTGTGACAATCAGTAAAATGCAACAACCAGGATGTGCTTTAAGGCTTAAAAGACAAAGCTATAAGGTTTAGGGCTGCATGATCTGGGCATGTTCCCCATGCAGCTACTGACTGGCAATAAAGTTTTTCTTTTTGGCTTTAAGAGTGTGTATGTGGTGGTCCCCGGCGGGCTTATCTCACAATATTACTGCTCAGGACTCAAGCATCTAGCTGACTGTCCAAGAAGTCAGAGTACCCAGTGCACTACCTGCTATGTCAAAGTGCTGCCCTGAAACCATGCCCTTGAGGAAAAGCTTCAACCATAAGGACTGCAGTAGAGTGGTAAAGGAACTTACTCTCCACCCTTTCCCCCTCAAAAGCAGGGAGAAGGGATCACTCAGGGATGCTGGAGCTCCTGCTACTAGTAATGTGCTAAGGACCCTACCACCACCACACACACATCAGAAGCCAGTGTCTCAGTCAGACAGTAGGCCCGGCCTCCAAGCTGCTCTTAAAGGAGCAAAGTAAATAAGATGGACCTTCACTGGGGTACCCTCTGCTCATCTTTGATACCAGAGAGTCAAGTCCTCCAGTTACAAGTCAACAGAGAAGAGAGGGCTAGAAGGAAGAAGTAATGTAACCCAGGGCTGACCTAGGTTACGCTGGTCAGGCCACACTGGTAGTCAGTGTCCTCACCGCCACTGCCATCACCTCAACACTCACTCTAGAGCACAAGAAGGGAAGTTGCACGTGGTCCTTACCCTTTGTAAGTGAGAGAGCATGGAGCTGCTGTGCAGAGTGATGGGACTGGCTCCCTCTTTCCACTAGCCTGACCTGTGCTTACCTCCCCATGAGGGCCACTGAGAGCTTACACTATGACTCTTCCACTTCCCAATCTTAGCTCAGGTCCTGTAACCAACCACATCCAGACGGGAGAGATACTGCAGGGGAGACAACCTATTCCTTCAACCCTTTCCCAAAGTGCTAGTAGCTAGGCACCTGAGCCAGCTTTCCCATCCTCTAAAGCTAAAGAGTTTATAGCCCACTTTCCCCTGGTCTCCCCACTGACGTCCCTCCTGTGAGGATTGTGGATACCAGTTGCCACTGCTGAGCCCGGGAAGCAAAACTGATCTTGCCTGCACAGGAGCCAAACCCAGGGAGGGGCCAGTTCTGGCTCTTCAGCTATCAAGTAACGGGAGGGAGAGGGAAGTAGGACAGGTTCCACTTGGGGTGGAGAGGAAACAGGCCTGGGCCCCAGGGAGAAGGGGGAGGGGTTGGGGGTGGCAAACCCTGATCCCCAAGCCAGTTTCAGCCTGGAAAGAAAGCTGTACTGAGGTAGAAACCAAGATAGAAGCTAAGCGACAAGGGAGGGGACCATCAGGAGCACAGCCTCTAGCTCACAGGGCAGAACACAGCCTACAATATCACCAGTCAGGATCTGCTGTTGGCCAGCAGCAGGTACTCTCAACAGACTGCATCCATATGACACCAAGACTCAGGCTCACACTCTTCCATCAAGAGAACGGAAAGGCCATGGAGGTCACGGTCTAGTCAGGGCTCCTGACCCCTGGTTCTTGAATGGACAGCCTGACAACCACCAACAAATTCTAACCATATGTGCACCTTTCCTGAAAAGGTCTATGGCTTTGAGCAGATTATCTGAAAAGCCTTGGCTCCAAAAACATTAGGATCTACTGTTCTGCAACACGAAAAAGGAATAGAGAAAACTATAAACACAGAGGGTCAAAGAAAGAGACCGGAGACAAGCAGGCAGGAAGTGACAGACGGCCAGAGGATGAAGAAAGGGACTAGGGCAGGGAAGAGTGGGAAAGATGTGGACAAGTGTTCTACCTGGGCCGGCACTGTCACCCAGTGTCACCTCCAGGAAGCTGCTCTTGATGCAGATGCCAAGAGCAGGCTCACAGGGCAGAGTGGAGCCCAGGTGCTCAATTAGACAGGCAGCACACCCCATCTTCAGTCTAGGCTACCCCAACACTGCCTCTTCCCTTCAGCCTTCTGGTGGAACAAGCTTCTGTCACCCTTAACTACCCTTGGTCTTCCAAGGGCAAGGACCTCTGCCATCCTAGGCTGAACAGGTACAAAAATCAAAGCCCAGCCAGGCAGTGGTGGTGCACGCCTTTAATTCCAGCACTCAGGAGGCAGAGGCAGGCAGATCACTGAATTCCAGGCCAGCTTGGTATACAGAGGGAGTTCCAGAACAGCCAGGACTGTTACATAGATAAACCCTATCTCAAGGTAAAACAAAACAAAAATAAATAATTTTTTTTAAAAAAAGTAAAAAGCCCAGTGAGAGGAAGAGACACAAGGCCCCGCAGGTAACTGTAGCCCTTCTGGTGGAGCTGCCTACGCTCTGCGATATAACCCCAGACTTATCTCCAAACCCACATGCCAAAGTACTAGGCACTCACCGAAAAAGTGCCTTACCTTGGTGCGGCCATTGATGACGTAGTTGCCCAGCCGCCCCGCACAGTGGCGGATTACAGTGTCCACATGAGCCATGAGGGCACCAATGCTCCTGCAGCTTGGCTCGTGGCCTTCTACCCAGGCAATCTGGTCCCCACGAATGCTGCGCGGTGGGATCGCCCGCTGGCTCACTAGTTGCCCATCACGCAGACGTCCGCCCCACTTCAGGGCTTCCACCTCCGCCAGCACACGGCCACCCAGTGTTGCCCCCAAGAAGTTGTCCTTGACGCAGATACCATAATACCGCATGCAAGGCACAATGTAGTCCAGGGCCAGGCGCTCAGGTGCAGAGGATTGCGTTTCCTCCCTCAGCCTAGCACTTGCCTCGCCACTGCTACTGATAGTGTTGTTGTTGCTGCTGCTGCTGCCGCCGCCACCGCTGCCACAGCCCACACCACTTTCCCCCTTGGCTTCCTGGTTCTCTTGCCTGGCCCATGGTCGCTTGCTGGGTAAAGGGGCATCCCCACCATCCTTGGCCCACTTCCGTTTGGGGGCCTCAGGCCGGGCACCCTGGGCCGCCAGTCGCTGGCACTCCTTGGTGACCAGCGCAGCAGCGCCTTCACTCTGCAGTGGCCACAGCTCACCACCATCCTGCCCACCAAAGCCCTCCCGAAGGGGACTGGCAGTGGTAGTGGTAGCAGTGGCTGTGGTTCTGGGGGTCCCATTGCCAGCCGAGGCCTCACCAGATGATCCTGGACGGTGGTAGGAGGGTAGCAGGGGGCAGGGCAGGTAACTCTCCACCCCCATCCTGGCTCGGCTAGGCTCCAAGGACTCTGACACAGACCCTGGCAACTGAGGGAGAGTCTGATTCAGGGCCTGCGGCTGGCACGGGCTGTCCATGGCAGCAGTGTCTTCATCCCCCGGGCATGGAGGGTACGGCCCGGGCCCATGGTGCCACCCTCCTCCGCCTTCTCCTCCTCCACTTGATGCAGCCGGGGGCCGCTGGGCCTGGTGTGAGGCAGGGTGAGGCAGGGCAGGCAGCAGGGGTTCCTCTAGTGCCCCGGGGGTGCTCACTGGTCCCCAAGTCCACAGTTGTCCCTAGGAGCTTGAGAAGGGACTGGTGGGGGGGGCTGGAAAAGAGAAAAAGAAGAGGAGTTACAGACAAGCAGGTAGAAAGGGCTGGAAATGGTACCAGCAGTAAGTAGATGACAGACACATTCACAGTGAACACATACACACACTGAGGCAAGATGGGGCGCAGAACTTGGGAATTAGAGAGGGAAGGATTGGCAGAGGAATATAGGGAAAGAGTAGAAGAAAAAGGCTGCATGGGAGGCCCAATAAGAGGACGGCAATAAATGAATAATCTAAGAGATCTGAGGGAGAAAAGCAACAGCGATAAGTGGGAAACGGGTACCTGCCTGAGGGGTCCATAGAGACTCGGAGAGTGACACAGAAAACGGGAGTGAGGAATCTAGGATAAAGTCGGGGTTGTGGGGAGCCGGCGGGCACTGCCACCGCGCAACATTTGCGGGAACCGGATCACCTAAGTGGAAGGCCACGAGCCAGGGCAGGCGGGGAAAACCGGGAGTCCAGGGACAAAGAGAACAGGGAGGAAAACAAGACTACAGGGGAGCGGGAGGGACGGTGGGGTCGACCTGTGCCCTACGGGAGGAAGCCTACTGGGGCCCGACACACACCCAGACGGAAGGGAGGTTCTGCCAGACAGACGGACTGACGGAAGGGAGGCCGGGAGGAGGGTCGGATCAGACGGCCTCCCTCCCAACCCCCTCCGCAGCGGCCCAGGGGACGCCGGACGCCGCGGGCGACTGAGGC